AAACCCTAAACCCTAAACCCTAAGCCCTAAGCCCTAAACCCTAAACCCTAAATCCTGAACCCTAAGCCCTAAACCCTAAACCCTAAACCCTGAACCCTGAACCCTAAACCCTGAACCCTGAACCCTCAACCCTAAACCCTAAATCACCTTCCCTTTTGCCTCAGCACTTCCGGAGCTCTAAGCCCTCCTAACCTCTAAGCCTCTCAAAGCACACCCTAACGGTTCAGGGTTTAGGGTTTAGGGTTTAGGGTTTAGGGTTTAGGGTTTAGGGTTTAGGGTTTAGGGAAGCTGCAGAGTCATCAGCACCATCATGGCGTGAGGTTTCGGGTCTCGGGCTTAGGGTTCATCCGTCGAGTTCTTGCCTCTATACTTGCTCCTGTTTTTGGCAGGGGTCGGGGCTACGTCTGAACCCGGAAGCCACCCTAAGCTGAACCTTGTGCCCCTCGAGTGGAGGGATTCCTCTCCTGCTTCCATGCTCGGGACAGCGACGACTTCCCGCGGGAGGCACCGGGATCAAACGGCTTTTCAGTGTTTAAGGTTTAGGGTTTAGGGTGTTGGGGGTCTGGGAGATTGGGTTACGTATAAGGTCTTCTTGAAGCGTTAGGGTCCCGGGGTTTGGAAATGTTAGGGTTAGGGCTAGTGTTTAGGGCGTTGTCTAAGTTAGGGCTCCTTTTGAGGGGTCCTTATCATAAGGGTGCCGCTTTATGTAGTGGACGCAAGGCAGGACAGCAAGTAACCCGTAGATGCTACTCTAGCTGTTGTACTGTTGAGAATTTTCAGGTTCTACAGCCCTGCAAACCCATCCGCAACCTGCACGCCAGTCAGCAGCATCTCATATCCTAGAACCCATTGGGGGGGGTTCATCATAGCTAGGGTTTAGGGGTCCGAAATTACTTCATTTCGAAGCTGACAGGTCCAGAGCAAAGCCCCTGGCTTGTAACAAGGCTGCATGTTGCTCATGGTATGACCTTCCAACGAAGACAAAATGTTTTACGCTTGGGGTTCAGGACGTGAGGGTGTCAGGGTGTAGGCTTAAGCCTCCGGCCCAAACACTGAACTAAGCCCCGACCCCCAGAATCCTAAACACTTTAACCCCAACCCTAACCCCTCAAATGAACCCTTAGACCCTCAACCTCTACACCAACAAGACCCTTCATTCCCGAAACACAGCCCCACTCAGCTCTTGTCAGCGCGTCGACATTCAGAATCTTCACAGGGTTTCGGGGTTTGGTGTGAGGGTTTCGGGGCTTGGGGTGTTTACAGCCCGCAGGCGAGGGATGCAAAACGTTGACGTGGGGTTTACATCAGGTGCCAGTGCGGGGAATCCCGGATGGCGTGCTCCATGACGGCATGCTGAAGGAGTCTGATGGCAGCTCCCTCTCTTCTCAAACCCTAAACCCTAAACCCTAAACCCTAAACCCCTAAACCCCTAACCCCTAAACCCCTAAACCCTAAACCCCTAAACCCCTAAACCCCTAAACCCCTAAAGCCCTAAACCCCTAAACCCCTAAACCCCTAAACCCCTAAACCCCTAAACCCCTAAACCCCTAAACACCTAAACCCCTAAACCCCTAAACCCCTAAACCCCTAAACCCCTAAACCCCTAAACCCCTAAACCCCTAAACCCCTAAACCCCTAAACCCCTAAACCCCTAAACCCCTAAACCCTAAACCCTAAACCCTAAACCCTAAACCCTAAACCCTAAACCCTAAACCCTAAACCCCAAACCTTGGACTCTTTACCAGACGAACCTTTCTGCAGCTCGTGAGGACCTCACCAAGAAGCACTCCTTGCATGGTGAGGCTCCCGAGGGTTGAAAGGGTTTAGGGGTTTAGGGTTTAGGGTTTAGGGGTTTAGGGTTTAGGGTTTAGGGTTTAGGGTTTAGGGTTTAGGGTTTAGGGGTTTGGGGGTGTGGGGGTTTAGGGGTTTAGGGGTTTAGGGGTTTAGGGGTTTAGGGGTTTAGGGGTTTAGGGGTTTAGGGGTTTAGGGGTGTAGGGGTTTAGGGGTTTAGGGGTTTAGGGGTTTAGGGGTTTAGGGGTTTAGGGGTTTAGGGGTTTAGGGGTTTAGGGGTTTAGGGGTTTAGGGGTTTAGGGGTTTAGGGTTTAGGGTTTAGGGTTTAGGGTCGAGATGTTCCCCCCTTATACGAGCAGTCCTTAATTGGCATTAAAATAGGGGGTACTAGGAATCCTATTAAGGACTGTTAGCCTGAGGGGGACATCCCAAGTTTGCTGCGTTTTTTCGGAGGGCTTAGGGTTCCTTTTTGATGGGCTTTTGAGGCTTTAGGGCTTTTTGGGGGTTCTTGTTGAAGGTGTTGTTTGGGCTTGGGCTCTAGCGCTTTAGGGGTTCAGGGTTGTTCAGGTTTGGAGTTCGGGGTTTACGACCTCCAAACCCTGAACCCTAAACTCCCCCTGCAGCCTGCAAGGTCCCATACTACTTGGATGCAAGGGGTATGAGGTATACTAGGAGAGCCTACATATCATAATGGAACTCTACCCCCCAAAACCCTCAAACCATCCCCCTTGATGGCCCCTTATAAGCTTACAGTACAAGCTGCCACACAGAAGATGCCCAATCTAGCCCTTACACCCTGAGCATGCCTACGGTTTGAGGGTTTAGGGTTCAGGGTTTAAGGGTTTGAGGGCTTAGGGTTTCAGGGCTGTAGCGTTGAAGTTTGGGACTGCAAGGTGTAGGGCCGTGTGGGGACCAGAGGCTTGGGAAGCTTTCCGCCATGCTTTGCACACGAAGCTCCTGCAAAAGTGAGGACTATATAAAAGCTTCCGACCTTAAGTTGAACTTCTGACACCCTTGAACCACCAAACTCTTTCGAAAACACTAAGCCTTTGAGACCCTCACCCTGGATGCGGGCGAAGCCCTAAACCCTAAACCCTAAACCCTAAACCCCAAACCCTAAACCCCAAACCCTAAACCCGAAACTCTAAACCACTGACCCGGAGCAGGCCCTGAAGCGCTACCTTCTCAAGGAGGTCGAGTGAGGGCCCCTGCCAGGTCCGTTTCCTTGTTTAGTTTAGGGTTTAGGGTTTAGGGTTTAGGGTTTAGGGTTTAGGGTTTAGGGTTTGAGGTTTAGGGTTTAGGGTTTAGGGTTTAGGGTTGTTATACTGCAGCCTCTTAGTTTGCAACGCCCACACTGCCCCGATACAACCCCCCAGGAAGAGTAGCATCACCTTAGAAAGAACACCCAAAAACAACGGGACCCCCGAAACCCCTAAACCCTAAACCCTAAACCCTGAAAACCCTAAGGCCTAAACCTATAAATCCTTAAACCCGAAACACTAACCATGAAAACTTGACCCTGGCAGCCGTCGGGGCATGGTGTGTTTTGGGGGAGGTTCAGGGTTTAGGTAAACCCTAAACCCTAAACCTTCAACTCTGAAACCCTAAACCCCTTAAACCCTAAACCCCGAACCCTAAACCCTAAACCCCGAACCCTAAACCCTAAACCCCGAACCCCGGCTGGAAAGTCGAGGCGGAGCTCGAATCCTCGGGGCTTTTCATCCCTCGAATTCCTTCAAGAACCCTCTAAAAGCTTTGAAGCCCCTAAGCCCTAAAACCCCAAAACTGCTAGAAAGCCCTATGCCCTTATTTCTGGACAAAAATTAAGTTTAGGGTTTAGGGTTTAGGGTTTAGGGTTTAGGGTTTAGGGTTTAGGGTTTAGGGTTTAGGGTTTAGGGTTTAGGGTTTAGGGTTTAGGGTTTAGGGTTTAGGGCTCTGAGCCCTTGCCAGACTAGGTCCACACCAAGAAGCCCCGAAACCCTGAGCCCTAGACGTCCTGAAACATCCCTTGCTTGCTCGAAGCCTTCAAATCTCCTTATAGGGTTTAGGGTTTAGGGTCTGAACATCCACCCCCCCCCCATGTCTCTGCCAAACTCGTACCACCAAAGGCCCTCAGCTCTACTTGGGTAGTTCTCGAAATTAGGGTCCTTGCTAATTTCCAAAAGGGGAGCTTAATTTAGAGAGCCGCCTATTGATGCTTCCCTAAGCACTAAAAAAACCCTATCCTGATCCCTAAGCCCTAACCCCTAAACCCTAAACCCTAAACCATTAACCCCAAACCCTAAACCCTAAACCCTAAACCCTAAACCCTAAACCCTAAACCCTAAACCCTAACCCTAAACCCTAAACCCTAAAACCTAAACCCTACAGACCCTACAGACCCTACAGACCCTACAGACCCTACAGACCCTACAGACCCTACAGACCCTACACTGATCCAGCTCTCAGGTTCATGGTCACCCCGCGCTTTCTGCAGCTGTCCGAGGACTTTCGCGGGGGGGGCGGGGGGGGGGGGATGAAGGAGTGGTTTGGGCTTGGGAGTTCTTCCGGGTTTAGGGCTTTGGGGTTTGCAGGATGTAGGTTGTTAGGGTTTAGGGTTTAGGATGTTGAAAAAATGTTGAGTGTTTAATACTAAGGTCTACAGCAAGGCCAAAAACATACCCTAAACTCCACAAATGTGAAAAGAGTGACGTGGAGGTCGGATTGCAAGAAAATTATAGAAGGCTGTGCTTAAGGTGAGTGCTGATGGTCATGGATGGAGGAAGCCTTGCGCCACTTTGCTATGTGCTCTTCGCCCACGACCCCACATCCTGATTATCGTTGGCTGGTGTCATGGAGGGCTCGTGCAAGATTTATGTATGTCAGTGGACCAAATCACCAAGCCCCGTGTTTCAAGACCATGATAGGAAAGTCGGCGGTGAGGCCACACCCCGACTGTCTGAAGATAGAGATCTGTACAAGCCTCCTCTTCCACCTCAATATAGGGTCAGAATAACCACTTATAGTATTCCCTTATGGTCCCTTTATAGCTATACTACAAGAACCCCCCAAAACCCTATTCTAACTGTTAAGGCCCCATATGAGGCTCCTCCGCAGGCCCGCAGAAGTCCTCCCCTGAAGGGCTTGACAGGGCCATCTATTCTCCCGGTAGGTTAGTTTCTCCGTTGGCCAGGCCACATCATTTCCACTCTGCGTCCCCCGTTCGTGTAATGTATGCAAACATTTGCAATGTATGCAGTGTGTGCATGTATGCATGCATGGATGCATGTGTATGTATGTACGTACGTACGTATGTATGTATGTATGTACGTATGTATGTATGTATGTATGTGCGCATGTAAGCACGCATGTGTGCATGTGTGCATCTTTATAGGCGACTGATGAGCAAGTGGCCTTCTCTAGGAGACTCGCCTAGCCCGACTTGCCGCCTACTGCAACCTTCACATTTTCCACGGTCCGGCGCCCCATCTTCTTTTAAACGAATGCTGTTTGGTTTAGGGTTTAGGGTTTAGGGTTTAGGGTTTAGGGTTTAGGGTTTAGGGTTTAGGGTTTAGGGTTTAGGGTTTAGGGTTTAGGGTTTAGGGTTTTTGATACCGTTCTGACTCCCGGTTAAAACTAAAGACACACAGAAAACCTTGGCACCCTCGCTCCGAGTGCAAGGCCCAAGCCCGGAAACCCAAACTCCGACTGTCAGCAATGCAGGTAGGTGAGGGGGTATGTAGAGGAGTGTCTGTAGGGGGTATGAGTTGGGGTATGGTGGGGATATGTAGGGGGGGTATGTAGGGGGTTATGTAGGGGGGCAGGCAGGGGTGGTTTGTAGGGGGATGTAGGGGACATAGCTTTCGGGTCTTGGGGTTCAGTCAGGGCTGGTGCTGGGCTCTCGGCGAGGCGCCTACCACGGAGCCAAGCGAACAAGCCTCCTGGCCAACGTGAAGGAGTCTGTCAAGGGGGAATAAGATCAAGGGTCTAGGGTTTAGGGTTTAGGGTTTTAGGGTTTAGGGTTTAGGGTTCCCTCATTCTACTGTACCCCTGAAGAGCCTGGGTGCCGGGTGCCAGGGTGCTTCGTGTCCCCGTCAGGGATCCTCCGAATCCACTGGTTTTGAGCCCTGAAGCCCCTAGATAAACACCCTAAAGCCTGAACCCTAAACCCTAAAAGCCTAAACCCTAAACCCTAACCCCTGAAGCCTAAACCCTAAACCCTAAACCCTAAACCCTAAACCCTAAACCCTAAACCCTAAACCCTAAACCCTAAACCCTAAACCCTAAACCCTAAATCCTAACCCTAAACCCTAAACCCTAAAGCCCTAAGCCCTAAGCCCTAAACCCTAAACCCGAAAAACCCTAAACCCTAAACCCCTAAACCCTAGACCCCTAAGCCGAGTGGGTGGTGAGGATCACGCGCCGAAGTTCTACGGCGTGGCTAAGGCCATTGCGAAGGCGAATGAGAAGGCGAGCCGATTGCAGCTCTTGGTCGGGGGGATCTCCGACTTGAGGCCCTCAATCAGTGGGGGTTTAGGGTTTAGGGTTTAGGGTTTCAAGGTTTGGGGTTAGCTAGTTGTAAATCTTCCTCTGTTATCAGCACAGAGGCCTGAGTCGAAGTGTTCATTTAGCATGCAACAGGCACATTCCTGAACTAAAGAGGGGCCCTTGGCCTCTTTTGGGTGTGACGATGCGCCCAACGTGCGGAGGCCGTGGTGATGCTGTCGCGGCAGGCCGGCTACAAGGTTCTGCTGGAGGCGGTGGGGGGGTTGTGGCTCGACTGAGCTTCAAATCCTCAGCCATAAAAACTCCCAAACCCCTAAACCCCAAACCCCAAACCCGAAACCCCTAAACTTCCTTAAGCTCTCGATCCTCCTAAAGCCTTAAACTCCTTATGCCAGTTAGGTATTTCCCAAAATTGGGGTACCCCTTTGATACCCCAAAAAGAGTAGAATCCCTTTCAAGGGACCCCCAAAAAGGGTACCCCTACTTTCGAACTTTCGGAAACCCCCAGTTAGGAGTACCGCGGCCCTGAACCAAAGACTCTCCCGGCAAAGCCCTGCTCCCTGCGCCAGATTCTCCGAAAGACGGGGAGGAAGCAACCGGGCTGCCGTTAAGGGGGTTAGGGGTTTAGGATTTAGGGTAACATTGACCTCTGTAATATGGCGTCGTACTAAAGTAGCATGGGCAGACATACCTAAAGTGGATGCGGTTTTATGATATACACGTATATATGCAGCAGCATTGTGGTTGCCTTCTAAACCACAAACCCTAAACCCTAAACCCTAAACCCTAAACCCTAAACCCTGAACCCTAAACCCTAAACCCTAAACCCTAAACCCTAAACCCTAAACCCTAAACCCTAAACCCTAAACCCTAAACCCTAAACCCTAAACCCTAAACCCTAAACCCTAAACCCTAAACCCTACCTAAACCGCAGAGAAAGCCCAGGCAGGGCTTCAAAGTCGCCACCTTGTCCGAGCTGAGCTGTGCCCTCAGGCCAAAGGGATTCAGCCTCGGACCCCTGAAGCCTGTACCGTCCTAAACCCCAAACCCCAAACCCCAAACCCCAAACCCTAAACCCTAAACCCTAAACCCTAAACCCTAAACCCTAAACCCTAAACCCTAAACCCTAAACCCAAAACCCTAAACCCTAAACCGTAAACCCAAAACCCTAAACCCTAAACCCTAAACCCCTAAACCCTAAGTCCTAACCCTAAACCGTCAGCCCGAAACCCTTAAAGACGCCAAGCGCTCAGGCGACTTCAATGATGGCCGGCGCAACCTGCGCCCGGGGACCTGAGCATTCCCAAGAGCTTCTTGTTTTTGTTTTTTTGTTGTTTTTGTTGCTTTTGTACTGTTTCAAGGGTTTAGGGTTTTTGGGGTTTTGGGGTTTAGGGCTCAGGTTCTTAAGGGTTTTCCAGAGTGTTTTCATGTTTTTTTTCTCTCTGCCAATGCCACCTCCAGCCTCAATCCCTAATCCCTAAACCCTAAACCCTAAACCCTAAACCCTAAACCCTAAACCCCAAACCCTAAACCCTAAACCCTAAACCTTAAACCCTAAACCCTAAACCCTAAACCGCCTGCGAGGTGGCGAGCGTTTCCGCGTGCTCGTAGCCGAGACATCGCAGGCTCGCGGTCTCTAGATCCACCATCCTTGCAGGATCATGGGACTTCGGGTTTAGGGTTTAGGGTTTAGGGTTTAGGCTAAGGGTTTAGGGTTTAGGGTTTAGGGTTTAGGGTTTCGGGTTTAGGGTTTAGGGTGTCGTAGAAGTGGGCTTTTACACCTACTTACAAGTGGGGTAACCCAAGTAGCTCCAGTTAGAGGGGTTACAAGTAAGGTTCTAAGCCCGGTTATAAGTAGCTGGTAAGTCCCATGAACCTTCAAGGAGTGTCTGCGGTTCAGGTTTTGGGCTGGACCCGAAGGGTTCATGTACCTCAATAGGGAAGGCCTGTGCCTTAACAGTACTTGCTACATAGGAACTTTACCGGCCCAAGTCTATAGTAATGTGGTACACGGGCCCATAGGGTGATCTTGCCATCAAACAAACACCAGGTCTGGGGTGGGGCAGGGTCCTGCTTTCCTCGCCAAAACCCAATGTCTCAGGCTGCAGCCCTGTGGACCCCGGAAAGTAACTTTACATATCGGTGACCTCAGCGAAGCCGGCCATTTCCACGCTGGACGAATCCAGAAAGCTCGAGATCCCAGGTGGTCGTTACCTTGAGGATCCCGTCTGACCACCCTAAACCCTATACCCTAAACCCTATACCCTAAACCCTAAACCCTAAACCCTAAGCCCTAAATTCTAAACCCTAAACCAAGTGACGTCTGAAACGCTTGAATTCGCAACGCAAGACCCCGCACAGGCCAAACCAAGTCCTGAAGAAGCCCCCGAAGGGAAGACGCCTCAGACTCACTGTGGTTTCAACTTCGGGGCTTTGAGAGGTGAAGTGTCCCAAGCCTCACTAGCCCTTAAGCCCCCAGCCCTAAAGCCCTAGCAACCGAAACCCAAAGCCCTAAAAAAGTTTAGGGTGTAGGGTTTTGGGGTTTAGGGTTTAGGGCTAGGGTTTAGGGTTTAGGGAAGAGCCCGCAAACCTGAACCCAAGGCCCCAGTTTTCGTCCTCGCAGGCGGGCGAGGGCATCCAGTTCAGGCACGTGAGGCGGCTGCACCTCGTGGAGGTGCCGGCCAGGCCTGGGAGTAAACCCTAAACCCTAAACCCTAAACCCTAAGCCCTAAGCCCTAAACCCTAAACCCTAAACCCTAAACCCTAAACCCTAAACCCTAAACCCTAAACCCTAAACCCTAAACCCTAAACCCTAAACCCGATCCTAAACTTCAAATAAGCCCTAAACCCGAAGCCCTAAGCCCGAAACCCTCAACCCTCAACCCTAAGCCCTAAACCCTCAACCCTCAACCCTAAACCTCTAAACCCTAAACCCTACGGGCTTTTGCCTGGCTCTTGAAACCTTCGGGCCTTCGCCCCAGGAGTTTCGGGTTCAGGAAGGTCCAAAAATAAACTTCAGTGAAGTTATTGAACTCTAAACCTAAACCCTAAACCCTAAACCCTAAAACCTAAACCCAAAACCCTAAAACCCCAAAGAGCTGAGGGCTTCGGAGTTCAAGTCTCTTTTGGAGTGCTTTGGGCGAAAGCCCTCTCCCTGAACCCTTGTAAACCCCTAAGACCTCCAGGTCACGGTATCTAGGGCCGAAAGACGTCTGCAGGATCCCTAAACCCTAAACCCTAAGCCCTAAACCCTAAACCCTAAACCCTAAACCCTAAAGCCTCAACGGTCGGCAGATTTCAGGGCAACCTCAGGGGGGTTTGGGGTATTTAGGGCGGCCTCTGGATCCTTTGTAACCTTCTCTAGCTTCTTGCTGCTATGTGACAGCTTTTCCTCCCCCTAGGGTTTAGGGTTTAGGGTTTAGGGTTTAGGGTTTAGGGTTTAGGGTTTAGGGAAGTTGAGGTTTAGGGTCTTGTGGGAGGCCGAAGCCCTCAGGCCCTCACCCCGAGAAATCGCACGCCCCGACCTCCAGGCACTCGGACCTGGTTCAGCGCGCCTCCCGCTGCGTTCGCATGGGTGGCCATGAGGCCTCCCTACCGCAAATCCGGTTTCTGGGTGCAGGGCTTCTGGAGATCTACTTGGGGGGTTGAGGAATTCTGTTTAGGGTTTCGGGTTAGGGTTTCGGGTTAGGGTTTAGGGTTTAGGGTTTAGGGTTTAGGGTCTCAGGGTTAGGGTTCAGGCTGTTCAGGGCGCAGAGGCGTTTCTCTGGGACTTTTTGTTCTTCTCAGCATGATTTCGGGACTTCTGGTCGCATTGCCAGCTCGGCCTGTACCTCTAAACGCTGGCAGATGCTGCATACTTGGAGGTTCATGGGTACTTATAGGTAGGGTTATAAGTAGGGTAACTATGGTTATAACCCTACTCAGGGTACTTATAACCCTACTTATAAGTACCCATGAACCTTCAAGTAGAGTATTGAGGCGCAAAAGCTAGCCCTTCAATTCACGGCCGATGCTAGGTCGAACTCGCTTCAGAAGTTTGGCAAACCCAATCACCACTTGTACATCTATCTGTGTCTGGGGTGCGGGGTTGCCGACATGGAAAGAACCCTAAACCCTAAACCCCAAACCCCAAACCCCAAACCCTAAACCCTAAACCCTAAACCTTAAACCCTAAACCCTAAACCCAAACCCTAAACCCTAAACCCTAAACCCTTAACCCTAAACCCTAAACCCTAAACCCGAAAAGAAGTCGCACGCAACAGGGGCTGCCGCAGGAGGAGCGGGAGCTTGTGGCGGCCTCGGCACGAATCAGGGCCTAGGGTAAGGGGTTTAGGGTTTAGGGTTTAGGGTTTAGTAGGGTTTAGGGTTTAGGCTTTCGGGTTTAGGGTTAGGGTTTAGGGTTTAAGATGTTGGGTTCAGGACGCTTGGGCTTTAGGTTTAGGGCTTTCATCCGGTTTTTGGGTTCTGAGGTTTTGAGGGTCTCAAAGAATGTCCAGATTGACCTTTGAGCAAACTTGGGATAGAAGCCTAATCCCTAAACCCTAGACCCTGAAACGCAAATTGGGCTTGGGCTCAGAACACAATCGTCGAACCCCTCAGCCCTGAAACCCAAGCCCTGAACGCGTGAACAGGCTTGTTTTAAGATTGGGGCACGTGGAAGGGGGCTTTAGGGCCAAACTTTTGGGTTTTTGGTAACCCTTAACCCTAAACCCTAAACCTGAAACCCTAAACCCTAAACCCTAAACCCTAAACGGGGCTTCGTGTAAGGGATGCTGCTCTTAAGGTAGCTTGTAGGGGGAGTCAACATGCAAGTTTTATTCGATTTAAAAGCCAAACACCCCAAATCCCCAAACCCCTAAAAAAAGAGAGAAGCAAATATACCCCGTGACTCAGATGCTTTTCCCAAACCCCAAACCCCAAACCCCAAACCCCAAACCCCAAACCCCAAACCCCAAACCCCAAACCCCAAACCCCAAACCCCAAACCCCAAACCCCAAACCCTAAACCCTAAACCCTCAACCCTCAACCCTCAACCCTAAACCCTAAACCCTAAACCCTAAACCCTAAACCCTAGACCCTAAACCCTAAACCCTAAACCTTCTTTGAAGGTTTTTGTGGGCATTCAGGGTGCACAGCGGCAAGGCCATTGAGGTGCACTTGGTGCAGCTGCCCAGCTTCCTCAAGAAGGCGCTTAGGGTTTAGGGTTTAGCGTTTAGGGTTTAGGGTTTGGTCCCGGGCGCGGTTGGCCGAGTTTGTTGGTTTAGGGTTTAGGGTTTAGGGCCAGGCTTCGCTGGTCCTTGAACACGCTTCGTGCTCTAGTTGGTTCTACTCGGCAGGAGCCGCACACCTTGGCATCGAGAACTATCAAGTAGAGGGTTTGAGGGTTTAAGGGTTTGAGGGTTTGAGGGTTTGAGGGTTTCAGGGTTTCAGGGTTTGAGGGTTTCAGGGGTTCAGGGTACGAGGGTCCGAGGGTGAAAGTCCCAAAGGCTCTGCTCCATTTCTGCGTCAAAGTCGTAAAAGTTTGCTCCCCTTCCTCATCCAAACTGCCGCAAGAGGAGCCTAAATGGTTCAGAGATTTTGGTATAACCCTTAGAAGCTACCCCAAAACCCATCCTAGCTGAAGAGCCGCTGGACCAGGCGCGCCCCAGACTTTAGGGGGTTTAGGTTCAGGGGCACCCTGAGTCCTAAACCCCGCAATAAGCCCAACGAAGCCCGAATCTTACCTGGGCAGGGGCCGAGTTCTTTCATCTACCGCGAGCTGCTAAATGCCCGGGAGGCCGGGAGGGCGCGCATGTCCAGCCCCCGAAGACTCTCCTTCACCCGAAAGCGCGTTGCGTGACGAGATGAGCTGAAGTTGTCAAAGATGAAGGCCTAGCTGATGCAGCCCCTGAGCCCCAAGCGAAGCTCTACACCCTCGACCCAAAGCCTTAGGCTTAAGCCTTGCAAGGTCATGTCCATTCCTGGTGCGAGCCTGGAGGCATCGGCAGCCTTCCCTAAACTCGTATGCAAGCTGTGCTCCATGCTTGAAGGCTCATGGGTACTTATAAGTAGGGTTCGAAGTACCCTAAGTAGGGTTCTAACCATAGTTACCCTACTTATAACCCTACCTATAAGTACCCATGAACCTCCAAGTAGACCAGCAGCAGCAGGCCCCCAATGTATGTTGCCATGGGAGAATCCGCGAAGTCCTCCAGGCAGCCACCAGCGCGTGCGTCCGGCAGCTCAAGTCGGAGACCTCGGGTCGGCTTTGTTCAGGGGTTGGATAGGGTTTACCATGTTTTTTTTAGAGGGTTGATAGGGTTTGGTGGGGGGTTCATAGGGTTGATAGGGTTTATGGGGTTTCATTAGGGGGTATATTTACATAGGGTTTTTGGGGGCTTGGGGTTCTTAAGATATTTTGTGGGTCCCTTTGGAGGTACTGGGACCCCAGATTCCCTGGATGCTCGACTCAAGGTTTAGGGTTTAGGGTTTAGGGTTTAGGGTTTAGGGTTTAGGGTTCAAGGTTTGGGGTTTCGGACCTCCCGCATGAAACGGGACTCTCTCCAGCTGAGTCGAACTGCTCTGGCGGTGTGTGATTCGCCACCTGCTTCCAAAACTCTAAACTCTAAACCCTAAACCTCAAACCCCAAACCCTGAATCCTGAACCCGAAGCTCTGAACCATGAACCCTGAACTCTGAACAAACCCCCAAACCCTATCTCAAGGCCTCCCCTCTCCGAGGAAGCACAACGTGAAGAACTTGGGGGACTTTCGCCAAGCGCTTCAGGCCTCTCCATTCTGCCAAGCAGTTCGCGCCAACCCTAGTAACCCTATAAACCCCATGAGCGCTGTACGCCGTACGCCCTAAACCCTAAATCTTAAGCCTTAATAAAGCCCCCAAGTCATACAGTCATACGTGCATAGGAGAGTAAGCCCCTGAGTCCCAACACCCCTGTGGAAGTGGAAGCCTCTCCCCCCGCCGCCCCCGACTCCATGAACCCCCAACAGGGTTTAGGGTTTAGGGTTTAGGGCTGCCATGTAAACTTTAGCCAGAGCTGCGCGAGACCACAGGAAAGACATGCACAAAGAAGGGTAGGAGACTTCTTGCGATCTAACTGGACAGCCACAGAACCCTTGAGTTTTGTGGTTAGGTGTTCAGGTTTCTAGGGTTTCTGATTTTCTGATGTAAGGTGCAGGATGGTAGTGCTCAGGGTTGCAGCGTCTAGAGTGGTTTCTTGTTCCCCGCAACTTCCTTCACAGGGGGAGGAAGGGAAGAAGCTCATCGAGTTGCTCACAGAGGCAGAGACGAGTTTGGGGGTACGGGATGCGTCGCGCGTGGCTGTAGGCGCATTGGCCGCATTGGGCGCTGTGCTGCATAGAAGACTCATGAGGTTGCGACTGATGCCAAGAAAGATACACGCAGCTATCGTCGGTGTGTAAGTTTCAGTTCGTGTGCACCGGCAGTGCTCTGTGCAGGGTTGGCTCAGATGTTTCAATCTCCCATGGCACTCCCAGCGGGCTGCCTGGGCTACTCCTTTGGTTGAGAACAGGGAAGTTGCCAGGACGGGCAGCCTCTGCATCAAGAGCGTTGCCGGGAGGCACTGCCTCAGGAGCCCACTCAAGAAGGTCCCTGGTTCTTAGAAGGGAGTGAGGGAATTAGGGCCCTATTTATACATATATATATATATATATATCCTGTATGGATAGGTACCTCATTCCCTCATTCCCTACTAAGAATCAGCCAGTATACATATATATATATATATACCCTGTATGGGATTATAGTTTATAGGTACCTCATTCCCTCATTCCCTACTAAGAACCAGCCAGTATACATATATATATATATATATACCCTGTATGGGATTATAGGTACCTCATTCCCTCATTCCCCCCTAAACCCTAAAACCCTAAAACCCTAAAACCCTAAACCCTAAACCCTAAACCCTAAACCCTAAACCCTAAACCCTAAACCCTAAACCCTAAACCCTAAACCCTAAACCCTAAACCCTAAGAGCCAGCCAGGAGCCCACTCAAGAAGGTCACCGCCACGGCCATGGACTTCCAGGCCTGGGACGCGGATTGCGACCGGGCCTTCGAGATGGCGCTCCCCCCGCGCCTTGCTTGGGGCCAGTAGTTGATTTTTTAAACTTTATTTGGGCTTCCTTGTTTAGTAGGAATAAAAGGAAGTTAATAGTTGAACCTTAAACTTTTTGGGTTTCCTTGTTTAGTAGGAATAATTTGAAGTTTAGCCTTTTTTCTCCTTGATTAGTAGGAATATTTCGAAGTTTAACCTTTTTTTTCCCCTTGGTTGTTGGGGAGAAGTAAGGCGCTGGGAGTTCCGAGACCGGGCCTTCGGGTCGCCGGGCATCTGGCGCCCCTTCCACGAGGCCGTCAGCGCGGAGATCAACGCGCTGGTGCGGCGCGGCCAGCGCCGGGGCAACGTGTCCATCAACGGCGCCGACTTCGCCGTGGACCTTCAGGAGCCGCAAGCTATAACCCTAAACCCTAAACCCTAAACCCTAAACCCTAAACCCTAAACCCTAAACCCTCAACCCCTAAAGAGGACATGGTCGCCATGCCCACGGAGCAGTACGCCGTGCCCAGGATGCTTCGGAAGAGCGTCCGGCAGCCGAACGTCAACAAGAAGGCCCTGAAGGTGCTCTACCAGAAGTATGCCGACGAGCTGCCCCCCGCAGACCACCCCGCTGGGGCCGATGGCATCTCCGGGGAGAAGTTCCTCGAGTTTTTCAAGGACTTGGGTGGCTGAGTGGTAGCCTGTTGCCACTTTTTTGGGTTACGGGGTTCCCTTACAAAGAAGTAACCAATCACCAGAAAAAGGGGGCTACCCGAAGAGCCCAACCAATACCCCTTGATTAATGAGCAAAGCTTAAATCAGGGAGCCCCCTCTATAACATTACGGTCTATTGCTTGTCTAAGGGGTCTTGGGGCTCTTTGGAATATGCCTTAAAAATCAGATTAAGGGCTCCTCTTATAAACATGAGGTCTATTGCTTAACTAAGGGCTCTTGGGGCCCTTTGGGCTGCCAAGGACTTGGAGGCCCCTGGGACCCCTTAAGGCTGCACCCTTGGGTTTGGGGACCCGTTTTAAATGTTCTGAATCACAGGGCCATATTCGGAGTCTGTTGAGGGCAACCTCTTAGGGGTGCATCCTTACAGGTCCGAGTAGGACTCCCTTGGTATCCAGGAAACCTAAACCCTAAACCCTAAACCCTAAACCCTAAACCCTAAACCCTAAACCCTAAACCCTAAACCCTAAACCCTAAACCCTAAACCCTAAACCCTAAACCCTAAACCCTAAACCCTAAACCCTAAACCCTAAACCTAAACCCCCAAAAGAAAAGGACTTGGAGGTGGACCCTGGGACAGATGTGGCCGCCCTGGCTCTGGCCTCGGCCTGCAATGCGGCGGAGATGGGCGTCTTCCGGCGGCGGGAGCTTCTCGGCCGCCTTTTCTTTTTTTTTTTGGGGGGGGGGGGTTAGGGTTTAGGGTTTAGGGTTTAGGGTTTAGGGTTTAGGGTTTAGGGTTTAGGGTTTAGGGTTCAGGGTTCAGGGTTCAGGGTTTCTGGGGCTTAGGGCCACCTAACTCCCTGAAAAAAAAAACAGCCCCGAAGCTCTGACAACCCTATTTTGCCCAAAAAAGCCCTCAAGACCCGAAGATTCCTATAAAACTTGTTTAGGGTTTAGGGTTTAGGGTCTAGGGTTTAGGGTTTAGGGTGTAGGGTGTCTCAAGCGTCAACCCAAGGTTCATCTGCGGCTGCGCCGCGCTGGAGGTGGACAACCTCGCAGATCTGCGGACCAAGATGGCGCAGCTGCGGGACCAGGTTGGGTTTTTTTGTTGGGGGGGGGTTTAGGGTTTAGGGTTTCGGGTTTAGGGTTTAGGGTTTAGGGGTTAGGGTTGAGGGTTGAGGGCAAGCCCTCCCAACATCCTGTTTTCTCAGGTGGTCTCTGGCCAGGCCCTGGCCGATGTCTACACGTACACCTTTGGGGTGGCCTTGGATCCTCCATGTAACTAGGTGGGACTTTATCACTTTGTAAGTTTTGGGTTCCTCTAATCTCATATTGAGGGGGCTAGTAAAAAGGTAAGCTTTTTGTTTTGGGGGGGTTCAAGAGCAACCAAGGTAAGGTCCTCCCACTCGAGGAGGCGGCGCAATACTGGGCCCTGCTCTTGCCCCACTGGAGCTTGAGGGAGGACTTTTGTGAGCCCTGACTCGCTTTCGGGATGGCTTTGGTTTAGGGTTTAGGGTTTAGGGTTTAGGGTTTAGGGTTTAGGGTTTAGGGTTTAGGGTTTAGGGTTTAGGGTTTAGGGTTTAGGGTTTAGGGTTTAGGGTTTAGGGTTTAGGGTTTAGGGGATGCCTTACGTTTTCCTGTGCGGAATCTTCTTGAAAGTTAGGGGAAGGTTTCGGTGGGGATTCGCGTCGTGAGGGTTTGGGAGGAACCCTTTCGTGTATCCCAAGCCAAAAAGTTCATAAAAGTTCCATGGCGGCTCAAGCTTCATTTTTGTGAAGGGTTTACTTGGGAATTCTTGGGATTTTTGAGTTGTTGTGCACTAGAATTCCAAAGAAACAGCGGGTTCCAAGTTCAGTATAGTTTTGGGTTTGCCGGCTTAAGGGCTTAAGGGTTCAACAGGGTTCAAAAGGGTTCAAAGGGTTTAAGGGTTCAAGGGTTCAAAAGGGTTCAAAAAGGTTCAAGGGTTCAAGGGTCTGAGGGTTTAAGGGTTCAAGGGTTCAAAGGGTTCAAAAGGGTTCAAAAAGGGTTCAAAAGGGTTCAGGGGTTTCAGGGCGTTTTACGAGTTTAGGGGTTTAGGGGTTGAGGGGAGTGCACTCCCAGGATTGGGCGGCCAAGAATATGAAAGGGAGAGCCATTCACCGGGATCTCTGGATGATGATCCTGAAGCTGGCCACAGAAGTCCCGGCTGACCTATCGACCTACAACGAGAACCCAGCTTCTTGGGGATACTTGGGAAGAGCTTTTTTTCATTTTTGGGCACTCTGCTTCCTAAGAAGCAGCTAACAGTCATAGTTTTTGTTCGGGCTCCAAGTTCAGTAGAGGCTTGGCCTGTGGTACTGGACGATTTTGTTGACTACTACCGCGCCCAAAAGGGACTTTGAGAGTGAACTTGCAGCTTGCCTCTCAAGGCGAATTCGGTGAGAATCTTCCGCCTTAGGACCCCGGGACTGCTCCAGGCTGCCCCCCCCTCCCCCCCGGCCCCTCATCACATGAACCCTAAACCCCTGAACCCTAAGCCCTAAGCCCTAAGCCCTAAACCCTAAACCCTAAACCCTAAACCCTACTTCCTATCCTGCTCTGAGGG